TAGTATTCAGCCATTATTGTATCTTTGAATTGTTTGCTTGAATAATTTTTTCTTAATTATTTTATTTTCAATTTTATAACAAATTTTCAAAAACTGAAATTTTGGTTTAAAATTTACTTACTTTATTTAAATGTGTTCTCAATTACTGCTTAGTAGGATTAAAATTTCAGCATTTTGAATTGTTAAGTTTTTTGAGAGAAATTAGAAAGTATTTCAACAACAACATCTGATTCCTCACTAATAATGCATTCAATATCTGCTTAATTCTTCAATAATCACAAGTTTCAGCTGGAATTTTATTTTTACTCATTATTTCAATTAAAATAATATTTAATTTTAATAAGCACTGTAGCATTTGAATATTTATCTAATCGTATGGATAGTAAAATCATTGGTAATCATTATTTTGTACAAAAAAGTGATTACATTCAAAATGTCGAATTTATTTTCTGTTAATCACCATAATTGCATATGTTAATGGCTATATTCAACTACTTCTGTACTAAAATTAATTTGTCGTTTACAAATTACAAAAATTTCCATAAAAAATTGCTTGCTGATTTTATGTTAAAGTTCTTCTGAGCACTAATTTCAACCAGTGAATTAATGCCATTATTAATTCACACCAGTTTGAGACTAACTTAGGCAGTTTAAAGTTTGTTCGCTTCATATTTTGAGAGTGTTTCGCCCTCTAATAATAGCTTTTAATGTGTTCTGAAACTCAAAGGATACTTCGGATTTATGCTTTCAATGCTTTCAAAATAATTTTTTATAATTGCTTATTAGTTTCTGTATTATATTTTCATGTTTTGGTCCATGAGATTCTGAAATTGATACATATAAATTGTATGTGGATGATAACGCATGCCGTACTATGTCATGCTTTAAATTTTGAATATGTTTCGTGATTTACGTGTGAAGAACAAATTTGATTACTTCTAGTATTAAAGTTCAAAGGTTAACGAAGTCTGCAGTGTGGTCAATATACACATTTTGTATCACAAACACAGCATTTTATTTGTATCAATTTTAATCGTTAACTTTTGAATTTTAATATTAAATTAAAGAATAACTGCTCACAACTATATCCGATACATGACTATATCCATGTTGATATTTTCAGTACTACTGTATAAAAACGATCTACAAGACTTTTAACTGTATCAGAATTATATAAAAACGTATTATCCTACGAGATTCATTGAAAAAAATTAAAGGAATACAATTTAGTGACTAATAAATGTGCGAATTTCTCAAAACTATAAAATTAGATTCAAAAATTAAATGTCTTACAAGAATATGAAGTATCAATTTTCACATGCATTAGCGAGTCAAAAGGTCGACGGCGAAATTGGATGAATATTAAGGTCAGTAATAAAAGACAGTTCATGTTTAAAATTATCTAGCATGACATTACTTAAATTTTGTTATATATGAGCTGGAATTTTATTCAATTATAATTTGAAGTAAGCAATGAAAATTTGTAAAGTATAAAAAGTATTCAGAAATGGTAATCAAATAAAAATTATTACTCGTTTTGGTTTAAGGCCAAAATATCTTCGGTAAGACTCAGTGATCGAATACAGAAATAAAAATATACGCTAAATAATAAACTTGAAAAGCCATGAAGAATGATTATTGAAATTTGTGTTCACTTATAAATGTTAGAAAGTACTTTAATCATATTAGCACATTGTAAATAGTTAACAAATTATTTTAGAATAAATTAATTTGACTATAACACCGCATAGAAGCAAATTAAAAGACATGAGAATAGTTTCACTTCTTCATTCTTAAGAATCTGCACATGATAATATCAGCTGATGGTAAGAAATTTGATTAATTTCAAACTGTTAATTCTAATCAGTAATATTCAAGTATTACAGTAAAAAAATAATTACGTATGCAGTGATTACACAAAATTCAGATCATTATAAAAAATGGTAAAGAAAGCATTTTGACAAGTAATAATAATAATAATGATAATAATAATAATAATGCACGTAATGTTATGAATTCAATGTTGAGTTTTGAGCTTCGTAGCAAAAAATTCTAGAAGAGACAGAATCAAAGTCTTGAATCATATCTATTTCATTTTATTCAGGAAAATCGGACTGAGAAACTGATCGGATGAAACTAGCACTAGAGCTAATTCCAAGTGGAGCCATAGTTGAAGCTCGATTTTTGGAGCGAAGTTTTGCTAAAGAATTCTCTGCAATGTCTGCTCGTTCGTTTGCATCGTCAAGTTGCGTTTGCAATTGCCGGTATTTACCAAGATTTACCGATGCTACTTCTTCCTAGAAATCGATATCAATCAATAAATTACATGCTGCAAAGTTCTGCATTTTTTTTTAATACTTTTTGATAATGATAATATGAATCTTGAAGATCACAAATATTTATGTAAATCTCGAAATAGAATTTACAAAAAGTTTTGTAACGATGTTGTGACAAATTTAACGGGCAATAAACAAGTAAACTTAATTGGCAATGAAGATTAAAAATTAAACTTACAGCTTCTTCGACTTGACGTTTGAAAACTTTTATTTTCATTTGCAGTTTATCCACTAATTCTGTTAACCGATCACTGTTCCTTCTGTCTTCTTCACACTACAATTCAGCAAATTACATTTCAGTTAATCATTATTTTAATTTTAATAAAGTTTTAAATGGTGTTTGACTTTATTTATATAAATTTAGATGTCAAATAAAGTTTTAACTTTTGAGTGCTATCTAAATTTACATAAATAAAGTTAAGCATCATTTAATTGTGTAAATTGAAAAAATCTTCCAAATTAACCTTGCAAAAATTAATATTCTATTTAGTTAAATTTTTCAATTATTCATTTACATTTTAGTTTTATTTACTTTAAAATTAATCAAATTTCAAGTGAAATTTTTGTGAATACCTGAAATTCAAGTTCTTTCACACGTCTGTCGCCTTTTTTCAATTCTTTTTCGTAGTCTGAGTTTCGTCGTTGTTCGCCATCTAATTCTTGCTCTAAATCTCGAATACGCATTTCTAATTTGGCAATGATTTTTTGTCCACCGCGGAGAGCTGCTTGTTCTGCTTCATCCAGTCTAACCTACAATTCAAAAAAAGTATCAAATATTTGAAAATATGGACTACAAAAACCGAAAAATGTGATTAAGGTATTAGCCTCAGCTGGATTTATTCACTAACTTGAAGCATCAAACGACATCTACTACTTATTGCTTATCAGTAAATATTAGATTCTTATTTGTAACAATTAAAATTTTCTAAAGCAACATCATAATAGTTTTGAACAATCTATGTCAAAATGTACGAATAATTTTAATTTAATTTCAATAAGAATTTTTGATGAAAATGATACTTTAATTTTTGCTAAATTTAAAAATAATTTGAATTTCTACCTGCATTTCTTTGATTTGTGCTTCAAGTGCACGGCGCATTCGGTCCACGTGCATAGCGTGTTCTTGTTCTTGTCGTAATTCTTCTGCAAGACGTGCTGCATCAGCGGATGCTTGCTTAAGCATTTCATCAGTACTCTTAAGCTGTGATGTAACATCATCCAATTCAACCTAAAATTTTTGGTAATTTATTGCATGTGATTTACCACAAAATAAAAATTTGAAAAATTTTGCGGGAGAATAAAAGCTAGACGCAAACATACGTGAACGTTTTGCAATTCGGCTTCAAGCTTCCTTCTAGTGTTGTTTATTGCATTCACTTGATTTGTCAAATCGTTCACTGTTTCACGTAATTCAATGGCATCTTGTTCAGCAGCACGACGTGCACGTTCAGCCTGAAAGATCCGCTTTAAATTTATCTATCGTAAAATTTTGAAACTTAATTTCAACAAACTTTGTTTCTTAACACCGAAAATCAAAATAATTTACAGAAATTTGATAAGAAACAAGATTAATTTTCACAATAACCTTTATAATACGTCATTTAAAAATGCACTAATTGTATTTAATTTAGTTAATTAAACTTGAATTAGGTTTTGAAATAAAATAAAATGCTTTCCAGGAAATACAAATAACAAAAAATAAATGCAAGTAAATAGCTTATAATCATTACTGCTTCAGCTTGATGAGCAAGTTCATCTTTCTCAGCTTGTAAAATGGCTGCTCTCTTTTGTAAGCCTGCCAACTGTTCACTGAAAATCAATTTATGAACTGAAATGCACAACTTTTGTTAATTTTTTCTTTTGACTGATCAATCTACAGTACTTACGCAAGATCATCCTTCTGTCGCTGCTCATCTTCGACTTGCATTTGCAGTTCTCGCACTTGCTCTTGATATCGTTTGATCGTTTTTTGGGCATCAACATTAGCCTTGTTAGCATGATCAAGAGCTATTTCGAGTTCCTACAATGACAGTGACTATTGATTAATAATACCGATCATACCAAAGTTCACTAATTTTTTGAAAAGATTTAAGAACAGAACACTATTACCAGTATTGTTTAGAGTATTATATTATAATTATTATATTTTAATACCAAAAGATCTCTAAAAGCTTGATATGATTTAAAGATTTATTACTATTGTTTAGCGTGATAATAAAAATTAATATGTTTGCTACAAGTTGAGAAACAAAGATTGACAAACATTAATATCTTGTTCAAGTTTCTTTTTGATTCGCAAAGTTTCGTGCTTGGCTTTAGTTTCAGCTTCGAGAGTAGCTTGCATGCTTTCGAGAGCACGTTGATGATTCTTGCGTGTGTTTTCGAATTCTTCTTCTTTCTCCTGAATTCGCTTTTCAATTTCAGCTCGTACCTGCGAAACTTCAACCTAAAAACTTTTTCAATTATCACATGAAAATGTTTGCGGTTCGATTACTCCCGAAAACTTTTTGAATGGTGTTTTATTATGGTAAGAAGATAAATAACTTGCCTGAGCTCGTAAAACTTTTGCTTCTTCAGCTTCTAAAGCTGATTCAGCATCATCTAATGCTTTTTGTAGTTCATCCTTCTCGGATTCTAGACGACGAACGATTTTTTGAAGCTCATGAACTGACCGTCCACCTTCTGTCAATTGATCAGTTAAGTCTTTGATTTCAAGGGACAGCGATTTATTTTCTCGGCGTAAACTTTCAATTTGCTGAATAAGTTTCCTTTAAAAATTGAATTTACAAGATTTCAGATTTTAAATATTCAAATTTGATAGCAATCGACTTCAAAAATTTATTACTTCATCTCGCTTTAACTTTCATTTAAATAAATTTTCATGGAAAGAAAAAGAAACAAAGAAATGATACTTCAAGTAATTCGTCTTGTGCAGTTTTAGCTTTGAACAACTCTGTAGAAAGGTTTCGGTTGTCTCGTTGCGCAGCTTCAAGTTCAGCAGCTAAATCATCTGATTTCTTCTTCCATTCTTCAACTACACGATCAAAGGCTTTTTGTTTTTTCTCCAAAGATGCTGCGTAAGCTGCAGCACGTTCTACGTCAACCTAAATTTCACAAAAATGCTAAAATATTTGTCAATTCCTTTCATATTTTAGTTTATGATCAACTTAAGAAATCAGCAACATACTTTTTTTATGAATATACAAAATATTCTGAATCGCAAACTCAATTGCTTAATTATAGCAGAACTTTTTTAATAATTGAGAAAGTAAGAAAAAATAATAGTAATTTTTCAAATAATTAAGTAGCATCTATTTGAAGTTATTCAATTACTACTTATATTTTATAAATAATGAAGTTTTCATGCAGTTTACAAGTACAAATGAAAGTTCATATGTACTACTTTTGCACAAAACTTTATTTACAAATAATTTTTAAAAAATTTTGCACTAAAACTTTGATGAATGTTTTAGCTTTACTTGGGCATCATCCAAATCCCCCATAAGCTTATGCCTAGTTTTCTCCAAAGACATTATTTTCGCATTTGCTCCTTCATTCACATCTGTTAATTCTTGAACTTTGTCCATAAGTTTTCGTCTAAAATATATTTTTTTATTTTGTGAAGAAAATTTTCAAATAAAAATTTAATATCCTTGTAATATTAATTTTAACAGAATCTGTATTTGAATTATGGAATGTCAATAAATTCAAATATATTCAGTAAATAATTTATAAATTTTATTAGTATTTCAAATGCTAGATTTATTTTTACTTTTGTTATGAAAATTAAATTGGTAATTACATAATAAAATTGAATCCAAAAATTTTTGAAAATTTTTATGCAGAAAATAGAATTTTACTTCGCTTCTTCAATTTCCTCCATTTTAGCCAAGCCTTCACTCTCAAATCTTGCCTTCCATTGTTGAATTTCAGCGTTTAATCTACTCATTTGGCGTAAGCATTCAGCTCTTCCCTAAATTTTTTGAGCACTAGAAAAAGGCAAAAAGCCAACAATAATTAGATGAAACAATTCGATGTGATATTTAACTCCGTCTGCAATTGATCAAATTTAGTAATTAAATTAAGATTAAATTCTGATTAAATATAAAAATAATTATAATAAGTACAAATTCTAACAATGATGTACACACAAGATTGAAAATCCGTTTCTAAATTTTTTTAAATATGAATTTCAACCTCAGCTTCTTCATCGGCATGTACACGAAGATTTTCATTTTCATGCTCTAAATTCTTCACTTGTGCTGCCAAGTTTTGTCGTTCTCTGAATAAAATTGCAATGAGCTTTTCTGTTAATTTGAGAAAAAGCAAAGATTTAATTGATAATTTTAATTTTGTATTTTAAATGTAACAATTTGAGAATTTTACTCAGACATTCATGAAAATTAGTTATTGACTGTACTAACCTAGATTCCTCTTCTGCTGTACGCTTTGCTTCTTCTAATTGGCTTATCAGTTGTGCTTTAAGTCGATGTAACCCATTCATCTGTTTGAAAATTCACTTAGCGTAAATATTTATTGCATAAGTTATTAAAACTGAAATCTGACAAACTTTACAACTTATAGCTTTAAGAAGGTTATTGCTGAAGTAACTAATTATATGAAGATATATCGGAGATCAGAATATACCTGATTCTCAAAGTCTTCCAGTTGTCTTGATAGATCATTATTCTCGTTGGTCAGTCTACTTTTTAATGCATTAAAATCGTTGATCAAACGAGTCTAAAAAATAGTACTGTATTGAAATTTAATTCAGAAATAGTAGTTGATCAAAATAATTAATTGCTTATTCAGTAAAGGAAGAATTTCACATTTTTGTGAAATAATCTCAGCGATCTAAAATGAATTCGGAAATGGCTATTAAATGTAAGAGTATTGATCTATAAAAAAGTAATAAAGATCACTAGAACATTTACAAGTGAAAAATCACAATTTATAGATCAAGATCGAAGTACCTTGAGACTTGAAATTGTTCTATTTTGAAATTTGCATTAAAAAAAAATTATAAAATTTCAAATATATCAAGTTAAATTTTTATCCACTAATTACAATATTCATACTTGATAGTTGTCTCATAATTTTGATGTGAAGATTGAGTACTATATTTTTCAAGCTATTGGCTTAAATAACTGATCATATTTTATACTTCATGATGGGATTTCAAGCTTGATCGTTTTTAAAGTTTAACTACAATCAAGCTTAACTAGGTCATGTATTATTCGACCCAATTCGAGTAGTTTTTCCGTTACAGACTAACACTTTCTAATTTAAATATAGTCTAGCATTGTTGATTCAATTATGTCAACACTTTTGATTTAGCAATTTCTGATCCAGATCTAGTACTTTTTAAATCTGAATCATTAAATAGTTCACGCTAGTGTGGATACCTGTTCGTCAGCTTTAGTTTGTAATTCAGAAAATTGCATTTCAAGCAGCTTTGATTGTTTCTCGAACTCCTGTTTTTGTCTGCTAATAGCATCTGAGTTTGCATTGGCATCTTCTAGATCACGTAATAATTGTGATTTATCTTTATCCGATTTAGCTTTAAGCTTCTGAAGCTGTTCCAACTGATCGCTCAATTCAGCTACAGCATCATTATGTTTCTTACGTAATGTCGAAATTTGCAATTCATGATTCATATTGTTTTCCTAAAATACGACGTAAAAATTCAAAAGGATTATGCAATAATAATTTCTAAATTAGTAAATTATGACGAAGAAACTATTGGAATGACTCCGTCAGGTTTTTGGCATATATAAGAGATAAATTAGTTAATTAATTTTGAATAAAAATGATTAGCTACTTTTTGTGAATAATCTTACATTTACTTAACAATATAACAAGAAGAAAAAAAAGAGGTTCTCATACTTCTAAATCCCTCTTTAATTTAGCCATTTCCGCCTCACGTTTTTTGTTCAATTCTATTTGCGCTGCAGTAGCACCACCTTGTTCATCTAAACGTTGCGAGAGTTCGTCAAGTTCACGTTGCAATTCTCCTTTTGCTCGATCAGCTCTTCCACGTGACTGACGTTCTTGCTCCAAATCTTCTTCAAGTTCACTGATGCTAAAATATCAGCAATTTTATTTCCATGTCTGAAAAGTCAGTTCATGCAAATTTCTCAAAGATTACTTTTGTATTACAAAAATTTAATGGCACCACTATCAAACTGTAACAAATTTAAATTTGATTTAATACGAAATCAATTACCGAAACTTATGATTTGTATTAAGTTAGAGGTTAGATATTTGACTTAATACTACATATAAATAAATTACGATTTTACCGGCTTTCGAGATCTTTTATCTGCTTTTGCAACTTAGTCGCTATTGACTGCTCCTCATCCAATTTACTTGTTGCACTCATCAAATCTGCTTCTTTTCTTCAAAAAATTTGAATAAATTATAAAAAGTACAAAAATTTTCAAACTTAAATATAAGCAAGATTTTTTGCTTCAGTTCGTCTAACTTATATCTCCAGAAATATGCTTCTTCACAAGTATGTCATAAATTTAGCTTTATTTATTTAAGTGATTATTCATGCTTCCATAATTAATTTTTGGTATTAAAATTAAAGCATTAAATTCATGCATGCCCTATTAGATTTTTCGACAGAAAACTGAGCTTACCTCTTTAAATTTTGTTCAATGTCATGTTTTTGTTTGGTAATTTCATCGAGATTTTCCTGACATACTTTGAGTTCACCTTCTACTTTACGTTTAACTTTTTCCAAATCTTGACGTGAACGTTTATCTCGTTCTACACGTTCTTCCATCTTAATTTATTGAATTATTGCAAAAATAAATAAAATTATACGGTAAATATTTTTAGAAAATATGCAAGTGATAACTTATTTAATCAATATTAAAATAAGTTATTTAGATAAAATTACAGTTTAAATACTGCAAGGAAAAATTTACATCATCTAGTTGCTGCTCAAGTTTTGCTTTAAGTTTCTGAATATGGTCAGATTTGTTTTCTTCTGCTTGTAATTCTTCCATCATCTTGCGGTTAATCTAAATATAAAAAATAAGTGCTACATTTATTAGCTCTGAATCACAGGGAATTTAATATTATTCGTTGTCTTTTTCTGCTTGCAAAATTAAAAAGTAAGTAAATAGTAAGCATTTTCCTAGGATATAATTGATCAATCGTTTCAGAATATCAACAAAAGTTATTCATTAAAACTAAGACTGAATTCAGAAATTTGCTAACATTGTGAGGCTTTGTCCACTTGTTTTAATACTATTAATTCTTTCTAAATAAATTCGAAAAATGTTTTCGAATTTAAGTTCAAATTCAAATTCAAATTTGAGCTTGAAATTGAAATATTTAGAGAAACTGCTTATTTTTGATAATTTATCACAAAAACCTCTTCTTGATGTTTCTTTTCTTTTGTGATTCGAGCGATGGTTTCATCTTGGCTAGCCAATTCATCTTGCAAAGAACGAATATTCTGTTCTCGAGATTGTTTCTCAGTTTCTAACTTCCGTAGTGCCATTTCTAACTCCTAAATAAATCTTTCAATCATTTCATGAAATATCAAACAATATTGAGATTAATCAAATTTTCACTGATTTAAGCAGAGTAAAAGTTAGTAATTGAGTACTTGAATCTTTTTCTTCAAATCACTGATCTCTTGATCACTTTTTTTCTTGGCTCGCTGAATATTTTCATTTCTGTCTTCCATTTCAGCGACTTGATCACCTAATTCTTGAAGTTGTCTTTCTAGATCAGCTTTCAATGAATTTAACTTTTGAATTCTTTCTTCGCTATCAGCCATTTGCGCTTTTTCTTTTTCCAAAGTTTCGAATAAATCGTTTTTTTCTTTGGTCAATTTTGCAATCTATAAAAATATCCATTTTTGAATCTATCAAACTATTTTTTTTTCATTTAAAAAATGCAATGAAATTTTAAAATTTTCGCTTCCCTATTTGTAGCAAATAATTGTTTATGAAGATATTTGATTACATTTTGATTTCAGCACTTCAATTAACCACATTAGGTACTTTGCTGAATGTTTCATTGTCGCTCTGCTCAACCGAAAAGAAGTAGCGGACCATAACGATAATGCTCATGTAATCTCTAGTTGCGGTACTTCTGAAGCAACGAAGACGATACAAGGAAGAAGGGGAGGAAGAATGACACGCATGTGACGAGTAGGAAGGGAGAAAAGACTATTTCAAAGAGAGTTAGAAACCTAAAAGAAGAATGCTGTTGACTCACAGTCAGGATTTCAGAAATCTGAGAAGAAAATGGTGGATGAACGGATAAAAATCGCATCTGGAATTATGGTACAAAACAATGGGAAAGCAGATAAGGTTGTGAAAAACTCCGTGAAAGATGTAAAAGAGCACTCTGCCAGCTTACCGGAACTAGGGATTAGCAGGATGATTACGCTTAAAGTACTCATACGAGAAATCGAGGTTCCGCAGAGCAGCTTGCCAAGGAAGTGCTGAAAGTAGTTCTTGGCCGTTTCGGGAAGATACCGATAGGGGAATGGCCCTTGCTCTTGCGTCATTTCTTATATTGCGTAAAGTTCTATGCGCGTTTAGCTTCCAAGACTTGAAGAAGCACTCGAATTCTGTGATTACCAGTATTGCAAATTGTCTTTGCTCACAAAAACGGTCCTTTGAGGAGTCAACAGGTCGTGTCAAAGCACAAGACACGTACTTTGAGCGAAATATTATATTAGTCGAAAGTTTATCTAGATGTAAAGGAGAATTACCTGATACTGACGCAAGAACCTCGAGGACTTGAGATAAATCAGACAAAACTGACCTGCTTATACTTGAGGTGGTGAGGGAATATGTTACACAGAATCCCCAATGTCAATGACTGATATCGCAAGGCAGCTCCAGATAGCACAGCAATGCTGTGAAGATATGATAAGGCAAAAAAAGAAGCCACTAAGGTGAAAGACAGAGATAGAAAAGAAGATAAGTGTAAATAGCTTCCACAAAATCTTCATAGAGCGGTAATCGGCCAGTGGAACAGTTGAAGGTAAAAACCTGAAGGAAGCCAGAAAGTGTCTGAGAGGCATAAATCTCATACGTGCTTTCAAGCGTGACTATCATGAAGCCCTGAATATGCTGACAGAACGTGTGAGAGTTTATGTAAAAAAATAAAAATAAAAAAAAACTAATATAAAATTTGCTCATTAGCAGAACTTAAACTGAACAATGCAAGCAAAAGTAATCTTCAATATGTTTAAAGTAAAAAGAATCAGAAAAATGCTAAGTAATCACATGAGCAAATTCACATTTTTAATAGTTTAAAGCTATTTTAACGACCGTTTTACTTACAGCGTTTTAAATATAAATAAACGCTATCCTTCGATATTTTATTTTCATTATTTAATGCGTTTGTAATCTTTTATTTATTTTAAGAAAAGTTTCTGCTAAAAATTTAAGACTTGAGCATTTCTGCATGAAAAATGACAGCTTGCACAGAATATGTAATAATTTACTTAAATATTAAATGTATTAAAAATATTATTGTTTTTAATATTCGATGTATTAAATTATTATTGTCATTAAATTATTATTATTTTTTATGCTTAAAGCAAATATTAGTATTTATGTAAGATTGAAAAGTGAAAAAGATTATTGCTTTTATTTAAAATGAAAAAGATTATTACTTTTATTATTACTTGCTAGCATTAGTACTAATACTTAAGTATCAATAAATTTTGCATATTTAGCAATTATTTCTTGATAATTATAATTATTCCTTTTTCCACATTTTTGTATGTTTTTTTTATTTTATCTGAAATTTTGCTTCTAAGACAGTTTATAGTAATTGTTTAAACTTTTTTGTAATATTTTCAGCAAATTCTTTTGTTATTATCAAGTAAATTTTTAATGCTAAAGCTTATTTGTCAAGATCACTTAGTTATTAATATTTACTGCAACTATAAGAGTGGATTATGTTTTAAAAATGAAAAGTTGTAATTATGCAACAAATAATCTTAAACTGATTTCACTAAGACTTAGTGATTTTAAAAATGTATACAAACTGAATTAATTATTTATTACTAAATTACTGCAAATAAATGCATCGAAAGATAGAAGTTTTACCTCTGATTCCAAATCTTTTCGACTGCCTTCTTCCTTCTGCAAATTTTCTTCTAAACTTTTTATCTTTTCGTTTAATTTTTCAATTTCTTCTGCTTCTTTGCCAGCTTTTAACATTGGCTTTACTCTACCATACAGTTTGAACCATTCCCATGTTCTTAATGTACACCATGAACGGATATTGCGTTGAACATATAGCATACCTGAATTTTAACTTCCTTATTGCTTTAGTATTTCAGATTTTACGAAGGTTAGACAAAGTGTCTGATATCTTCTTGTAGTCTTAGTGTAGTTTAGAATCTATTTTAATCTATTTCTCGGATTCAGATACAAATTTTGAAATGTTATAACTATCAAAGGCAAAGCTGTAAAATTCTAATTTTGAGTTAATGATAAATAATTGTAGTACTGAGTTATATGTAAAATGTGGAATTTATTTCTATTATAATTAATTCATTTTTACAGAAAGATCGAAACATTAATATGACATAAATTTAAGCTCACTTTTCATAACTATAAGTAATCCTTAAGTCATAACTATGGATTCCATTACAATTTTAGATTTTGCAACGTTTAACAACTCAACTAGAAATTTTATTACTACAGCATTTTTTCCTTAATCGCAAGAACTGAGTTCTATGATTACCAAATTAATATTTCGAGAATTCATGATAGGATGTCAGTGGTATTATTCTAGAATTAAATAATGCAGAAAATGTTGAAGGTGAGATATTCTTGAATCAATTTGAACACGGAATTTTTAGATGAGACTTATAAAATAGATGACCAGTGTTGTAGAAAAAGAAATAATTTTCATGAGTTTGCAAATTTTTACACAATAATAAATAATAATAAAATTTTTGCAATTAATAAAATAAGTTAAGAAAAAAGGATACTTTATTATTAAAATCCTTAGTAACCTTTGATATACCTGTCTTCTGCTGTATACGACGTTTTCTATCCAACATCGCAAGCCAGCTTCGCACTTTAGCTTGAAAGTTTGTCATGACAACACGTAATGCTTCGTCACGTAAGTCTTCAAGCCGTGCGAGAATTCCAGCTTTGAAGAAAATCTTCGTGGAACCTAATTTAAATTCTTCGTCTTTTAAATTCCCATTATTGCATAAGGAATCGGTGATGCCTACTGACGCGACTTTTTCATCCGTGCTTTTAGCAGCATCTGCGGCAAGAATTGCATATCGATGCTTGAAGTCAGGATAAAGCATACGATTTGGATAACCTTTGCGACAAATTCGAATTCCTTCTAACACACCGTTACAAGTCAACTGATTCAGCACTAATGCAGAGTCGATTATTCCTAAAACCATTGCAGCTATGAATACTTCAAAAAAATACTTAACATCACGTTTTTCACTTACGTAATACAATTTCTGATCCTTTTTAATTTATAATTTAAAATAATCACTCCTATAACTTAGTTTTTCATTATAATTCAATTTTATCTCGGATTCAGATTTAAATTTTTAAATGTTAGAATTATTAATTTCAGACAAAACTGTAAATTTCACCATAATATGAGAAATCCAATTTTGAGTGAAATTGTGTTAAAAAAAGTTGCAAAAGATTAAATTTTGATAATAATTTTCATATCAAAACTCTGAAACTAACTATTAGACTTATTAGTTTTTTCAGTAAAAATAGAGTAAAGTACCAACCACTAGCTTTCTTTTCGTTTGGAATAATACATCGGATGAAATGTGGATGAGTTTGATATAACATATGCATCAGATTATTGAGTGATTCTCGATACATCATTGAAACTGTCATAAAGGAGGCTGACTTACCCTTCTTGCGTCCACCTTCTGAAAAGAATTTCCACAAAAAATACGCTACTAAGTTGAAATTCATATTCAGCAATAAAAAGATTACAAATAAATAATTTTCAAAAAAATTAAGATTAAATTATTTTTTCTATTAATTATTCTATTTCAGTTGAATCAATTTTTGATTGCTAAAGTAAACAATTTAATGAGGTACTGATTAAACATGTATAAAGTTTTATTATCTATAAATTTTTGTCTTTAACTTATACATGGTAAAATATATTATTTATACTATTCTATTATTTATATATATTTTTTATTACAAATAATAATTTCAAAAAGTCAAAAAATGTTAGTTAATGAAAGCAGACAGTAATAAAATACGTATTTGAATAAAATACATAAATTTGCATACCAATGCCAGCTTTAGCAGCTTCAGCCGCTTCTTCCTGAGTTTGATAATCAGCCCAAATATCTAGCAGTAACTGATTACCCTTGCAGTGCTTCAGGACTGCAACTGCTGAATCGTTTAGAGGATCTTTGTTCTTCTCCAAAAAGTTTGTAGCATTGTATCGTACCTAAAAATTTTTTACTTGCATTTAAAATTAAAAATCAAATTCTATGCAAAGTATGTTGAGTGGTAAGTATGGGAGAAGTTTCACGTGAAATGAAAATTACTTCGTACCATACTTTTATTGCAATTTATTTTTATCACATTTTGAGCGCTTTCTTGGTTTTCAAAGCTTTTTTGAAGCCATTTACAAAATTACAATTTTGTTTCATTTTAAAAAAATCTAAAAATATCCCAGATAATAAATTTGAATACATTTAATTAAGCTATTAAGATTGAAGCACAAAAACATACAGTCCCAGCGTAGTGAATGATAGCAAAGTGAGCTTCTGCTTGTTTTCCTTTAGGTGGTCGAGGCTTCTGGAAGTTCGGATGTTTCCCGAGGTGTTGATCATTGAGTTTTTGAACAAAAGTCATGTCCGTTGCTTTTGGCACGATACATTCTTCATCTAACATTGAAATGATACCTAGCGGCTAAAATTATTTTGTCATTTTTGCAATGCAAATTAGTTTCAATTATTTAAAATTAATAATTATTATACGAAATTAATACTATGATAAAGAATAAACTCTTAATATCACGAAATGCTATGATCAAAAATTTTTGAGTTTGGGGTCAAACATAATTTATTCATACTTTTTCTATTAATTCAATGCAAGCTTGCAGATCAAGGCCAAAATCGATGAATGTCCAAGCGATTCCTTCACGTTTATATTCTTCTTGCTCGAGAACGAACATGTGATGATTGAAAAACTGTTGCAATCGCTCATTTACAAAATTAATCCACAATTGTTCGAATGAATTAAACTGCAAATTTTTACATATGAAATGTATTCTATTTCGATTTCATATTTCAAAAAATTATAATTTCTTGAATATTTGACAAAAAATAATAGTTTATTTTGTAATTCAACGACTAATATTGTCTTGAAGCTATAAATTTTCAAGAATTTTTAAATATTTATTAGAGTTGATTTTCTGGAAATGTTTTGATTAATTAATGAAATTTAGTATTCGAGTATTATATTTGTGTCTTGTTGGCAAGTTTGAGCTTATTTTCAATGTTGGAAAGATTTAGATCTGAAGGAAGGATTTTAGTTGGAAGAATTTTAGTCCTAAAAAACATTGATAAAATTTTTGACTTTGGAATACAGCAACATACATCAAAGATTTCAAAGCCAGCGATATCCAATACACCAATGAAATATTTGCGATTTTCTTTCTTCTGATCGAGAGTTTTGTTGCAACGATCAATCAGCCATTTGAACATTCGAGAGTAGATCGCTTTGCCAAGACCACCAACTGCCCAATGGACCTTAATTTTTCATTGGCTGACATTCATGAAGAGGTGCAAAAAAACAAATATATTTAATATAATTATAGTAATTAGAGTAAAATTTTTGCATCTCTTACTTGATCCAAGTTTTGACCTTTGTTCACCCATTCAGTTCCAACACGTACACGTGGTTTTGTTAGAGCTTTCAGAAATTCTTCATGATCAACACGAAAGCAAAATCCAGCATTTTTTGCATCTGAACTTTGGTAATAAATTTATTAATTTCAATTATTCCATTTATTCAACTCAAAGCATTATTATTTTTTCACTCTTATTTAGCGTTGAGAGATCTGAGGGAAAGAAATATGGAAGTTTCATTTTTGTTATTTTAAAAAATCCGAGTCCAACCTTCGTCTCCATCTGGTTCAGCTTGTTCTTCACGTGGTCGTTGTTTGAATTTCATCTCACCCATATGCATAATACCAGCCACGTTTGCATACAGATCATGGGTTTCATGATCTTCAAAACCCATAATGTCAAATGCTTCCTAAAATAATATTACTGAGATCATTAAATCATTTGAAACAAAGCTTAATTATAAAATCATGCTAACTTTCTTTAGTAAAACGTTAAAATGTATTTGTGAAAATAGAAACTGACTTGAGTAAGACGCATTTCTTCTTTGTCATCAACTCCTTCAATGGTTAGCTCTGCTTGCGCACAGAAATGATAATATTTGAGATCTTTCGTTAATCGCAATTCTTCTACAAATTAAAAATCCTTACAAAATTTATTCATAAGGAGTTTGAACTTCTTGAATTCATGAATGTTATTTTTTATTAACAAAGTAAATGTGCAGTAAGACTTGCCTCTTATCTTAGGATGAAAACCAGACATCAGCTGATAATAAATATGATAACTACGTTCACCCGGTGCCTGTCGTACAACACGTGACTTTTCAAAAAGGTCTGCAAAATAAGACAACATTTTTAGACACTTTTTAAAATATTTCATTTTGTAACTAATATTTGCGCAATACTCAAAAGTTAATTTGAGTTCAAAAATTGATTAATTACTTATAAAAATCAATTTTTCTCAATTTTTTGTTAACAAATGTTCTGAATACATTTAAAATAATTCACTGAAATTTTGCAAATGGACTTACAGTGCTCAATATCCCCACCGGAGAGCTTTCCGTCTTTTGAAAAATGAGTTCGGATAAATTTACCAAATCGTGAAGAGTTATTGTTTCGAACGGTTTTCGCATTGCCTAGCAATTATAATTTATTAATATAATAATTAATAATTTGTTTACTCTGATAGATAGCTAAGATATAATTTAGTTTTCAAGCTTTCTTTTGAATAAAACTTGGTATTATAAATGGCTTCCAGACAAATCCATCAAGTTTATTGCTTAGGTAAGCATTTTATATCTGATATTTGAATTGTTTGATAGAAATTGTAAAAATTTTATATTTCAAATTTCTGATAGAAATACTGCATGCATATTCAATTCAAACTTGCTGAAAAATTAATGGAATAAATAAAATGCAAATTTTTTATAAAATTATTTTTGCTTTCAAAATAACCTTTGACACAGTTAATTTATTACATTAAATCTCCAATGCAAAATTATTATGTATTATTTTGGTGTTTTTATAATAAAAATATGAATGTTAACTTGCCGAATGCTTCAAGTACAGGATTAGTTTGTACAATTTGCTCCTCCAAAGTGCCCTAAAATCTTATAATTGTAACTTTTTTGTTTTCTTCGTCGAAGGAAGAAAATAAAACTTTTACGATTGCAAATTTCGATAAAGACTTTAGTGTAATATTTTACAATAAATATATTTCTCGTAAAAAGCTATTTTTAGTATAATTTTCTTAGAGCAAAATATAAGAATGAAAAAATTTAGTCTGAAAAGTATAGAATTGTTTGCTTTTTTTTAATTTTTAAGCCAGATAAATGTGTGAAATTTGTTTGCTTTACAATTATTAATTTTGCAAAAAAATATTTTCAGTTGCGATTAAGACTCTTTTCTAAATGAAAAAGCTGACATATAATTTAATATAATTAATTAGTATAATTATTGACGAAAAAAATATTTATATATTTAAAATATTTTAAATATATAAATATTTTTTTAATAAAAAATGATGTGCAAAGCATACGCCTTTTTTGCCTTCTCCTTCCTTTTTCTTTTCTTGAGTTGAACCAACAATTGCAAAGTATGCAATTACTTTTTTGGTGTTTTCGGTTTTACCAGCACCAGATTCACCGGTAATTAACATTGATTGGTTTTCTCGATCTAAACTCACATATAACCAAATAGAACACACCTGATGACTTTTATTATTTTAGTACTCTTACTCATAGTTCGCAATACTATAATAATATACTAGTACCGTAGCAGAGATAAATTTATCACACTTGTAACACTGTATATATTTGGCAAATGATCCTGCTTAAATTTGCAGTATTAAATTTAGCTGAATATAATAGAAATCTATATGTGTAAGAGTAATAATACCGTAAATTCTTTTCTGATAACACATAGTTCAATAGTATTACTTTAAGTATAGTTAAGTATATGAATATAAATTAATTTTGTAAATCATACCGATGAGAATATTACGATATGCTTCATCTGAAACAGCAAATAAATGTGGTGGCATTTCATTTCTTCTCTTACCCATATAATGCTTGATAATGCTAGGCGTATAAATGGGTAAACGCTTGTAAGGATTAATGACCACGCAAAATAAACCAGAGTATGTCTAAAATTCAATCACAATTACTCTAAAAATGATTACTGTCAGACTTAAGAGTAGAGTAAGTTATAATTGCACACCAAGGACAATTTACAGACCTGTACCATAATCTGATTCTAATAGCATTCTAATGTATGAGAGTTTTTAAATGAAAAATTGTACGCAATACTTTAATCAAAAACTCACATAAATCATCATGGAAAAGTATCTCTCCTTTAAATTGTTCAGTACTGAGGCTTCATTCAAGAATGTTAAATTTGCCATATCTTCAGTTTTGCTAAATTTAGGAGGATTCATTTCCTGAACCTCTTCTCTTTTCACAGTAATCTCATTGCCTTTTACTGTGATTACCGTAACTTTATCACCTGTAGTTGACTTGATTTCAGCAGCGATAAAACCTGAAAAGCTTTTTAGCATTTAATTTGAATATCTTTAGGAATAAGTTAATTTCTTCGCTATCTACTATTAAATATTAAAAAAATATTCTAACTGCGGTAAAGCAAATAATTTTTAATTTTGAGCAAGATAATAACCATCTTCAGCATCTGGAATCCAGCAGTTCTTCTTAGAATCGAAAGGTCGAGCAGCATTTGCTGCTTTTTCCTCGCGACTAACTTCCAAATACACATATCCTTCATCCTGCTCAAAATTGCCTGATTCAACAACTTCAGTCATCGCCGTTTTTGTCCAAGAAATGCTTGAATTCATATTTATTTTAGCATTACTTTTGAGCTAAACTGCACTTTTTCGTTTCGTATTCTATTACAAAAAGCTGTGATGACTTCTATATACTTATCAAAAAACAGCATATAATAATTATTAACGCCATCATTATCATTATCATTGTTAGTATTATCATTATTAACGCTAATATTATCATTATCATTGCTATGGAAACCACAAAAATCGTAGCTTTAAAAACCAAAAAAGTTAGCCATTATTCTTTGTCAAACTACCTTGAATATTTTTGCTTTTTGTATTAATTTCAAAGTATTAAGTAAAACTGAAATGTTTTACATCACAGAATATGAAAAAGTTTCTATTATATATTTCATATTAACAAAATCAATTGTGATCAAAAATTCGCTGCCTCTTATATTTTGCAAATTATTCAAGTTAATTTATTTATAAACTTAATTACACCCGAAAAATTTGATAAAACTTAAAATAAAACTTCGTATAATTAAGCATTTGATAAGATTACTCGAAAGCTTAACACTTTGTTTACTTCTTATCTTATTAAATTATTATTACAAAATTTTTTTTGAAATATACAAAAATTAATTTGCAACTTCTTATATGACTACTACATAATTGCATGAACTAAATAATTAAAATTCAAAATTAATGTTAAAATTCTTTTTGTACAGTTTTGTGAAGCTGTTAATTTCGTTTACTTTTTTTAATTAAACGTTCAATCGAAATGGATAGTTTGAAATCAAAAAAGTGAAATTCATTCAGTGATAAGTATTAAAAGAAAATAATTAGGTTTTTGATTTGAAATATAATCTTAGCTTACTTTCATGAAAGCATAGAACAAAATGTATGATAGTATGTAATACGAGAAGGAACGATGCTTTCTAGACAAAATCATCTAATTGTGACACTAAATTCAATGTTATCCTTTCATTTGAGAAGTTAAGATATCAGCTGTTTTTGCACAAAATACGAAAAATATAGTTGATGAATGTCATATGAGTGAAAGACGTAAGAATTATTCGTAATAAGTTTTATTTAAAAGTTAAACAACGTGTCGGAAGAAGATGGTATTTTCAAGCAAAGTGATAAAATAACGTGAAATACAAAAATGTATGTGTACATTTGATAGCGTAAATAATGGAATTTAAAATATTGGAAGGATAATATTCTTAAAATTTTAATACTTAAGTTTTATGTTCTGCAGTTAAAAAAGCGTAAAAAGTGAGTTACAAGGAATAAAAAGTAAAGCGTGTAAATTAGTTGTACAATATGCAAAATATCATAAACGTAAAATAAGAAAATAATACTTGGCACGTTCACGTAAAGTATTAAATTGTAAATAAATGAAGCAAATTTTGAACAACTGTTCAGAGATAGAGTGATTGTTAAATGTTGGTGGGATCATCACACATTATAGCTAAAATATACTTTCATTATGTGGCATTTGAAAGAGCAGAAGGAATTTTATATTCATCAAATGCATTTATTTACTTTCTAAAGTCGACAAGAGTAATTTTTCATTATTTTGCTCATCAAAGAGTAGTAAGTAAGTTAGTTATTTGCTTCCTCGTTTCTTTACCTTTCTAAAGTTTTTTGAAAAATGAGGCAGAAGCAGCTGAAGAAGAAATAACACGTAGATTACTTTCAGTCAAGTTTTACTTCTGATAACACGTATATAAAACACATTACAAATTATAGAATAATTTCTGCATTAAATACATTTAGTATACAAAATGCAATATTAGTAATATAATAAGTAAAAGATGTAAAGTAATATCGATAGTAGTGGGCTATCAGTACACTAATATAGCTGATAAGATAGTTGTAGATCAACTGATAAAATAACATAAAAAATAAACGATTAAATTGATGAGATGAATCACAAATTGAAAATTTGTTTTAATTGCTGCACAACATTTTTGCAGTTAGTAAAACAGCCTTAATTAAATTAAAATTGAAAATACAAATATGCAAATAAATCTAACTGAAACAATTGCTATTAAAATTTGAAAACCAAAATCTTACCATTGGAAAACTGATAAAATATAGTAAAAATAGATAAAATTGTACAAATTCCAATTTCGAATCGTAGAATTTCAGGCCAAATGCCATAAATTTTCGTTGCAATAAACTAGAAATTGAAATACTTGGAATAATAGTCTCAAAAAATGAAATTAGATGTAAGTTTTTTCTGCTATTTGAAAAAGTTTGAAAATAAAATATTATTTACTGAAATGTTATTTTGAATAGTTCAATTTACAGAACTTAGCAAATGACTATACTCTGATACAATTTTTAAAGTTTGAAAAATTGAGCTTAAAAGTTGACAAGCGAAAAAAATTCAAAAGTCGAGTTTTTTAATCTTCATGAATTTTTTAAAATTTAAATTATAATTGATCGCAAAAATAAATAGCGTCTGAAATTCACTTGAACAAAAATAAAAGCATAAATTTGCGCAGAGTAAACTTCATTAAATTTGAACTCAACAATTTTTAATTTTGAATGAATTAAATTTTCTAAAAATGTTAGCAAAAATTACTTATTTTCAATATTTACGAACATTCAATGGCACATTTCATTTATGTATTTGCATATATGGGAAATTTAAAATTCATATCTGAGATAGTTAATCTCTTGCGATTAATAAAATCAGTAACAGTAACTTAACGTTTGTGATAAATTATAAAATGAACGCAAAATAATTTTTAATTAAACTTAAACATACTTGAAAAGTTGAAAATCAAAAAATTATTTCATCTAATTAAATTAAAATAAATTAGCAATAAATTGAAATTACTATTATGATTTTTTTTATTTTATCAAAAATAAAAAGCATAAATTGACAACCCTAAATGTATGAAAAAAACTATTTTACACTTTGAATTTTTACTCAAACATACAAATTCTTTCAAAAAAATAAAATGTCAGAACTATCGTGTTAATTTCAAAAATATGCAGAACAGTCCAGCAACATTTTACAATTGAATAGGCTGAGAAATATTTTTAATTCCCAATTGTTTTGATTATGTAGTTTTTATTCTGCTGATATGATTCAGAAGCATAGAAAAATCATACTTACTTACTTATCCAATATTGAAAAAGTATAATGTACATACATGAAAAAGTTGAAAGATAAGAAATAAACTTGCATTTTAAAATCTACAATATTTAAAAGTTTATCGAAAAATGTGTTCAGAAACAAAGACTTAAATACAAATATGAAAATTATTACTCGAATACTGATATATATTCTTAAAAATTAGTAAATAGTAAAAGATTAGCGCACATTTTTTCGTAAGTAATGATTTTATCAGTTAATATGAAATTGCTTTTATCAAAGTTAACTATTTAAATCAAGTAATGATAGCCTACCTTTACTTAAATACTGATATAAATATTCATGAATGGTAAATTAGTATCCAGATATACTTTGTTTAGAAGAACTTAAATTACTACTATGGAAATTAATTTGTTCAATTACACAATAAATTAAATTGCATTTTTCTGGTGAAAGTAAGGAATAAATATTTGATTAATTAATTTAATTAGAAACTGAGCTCTTTATTTAGCTGGCAAATAAAACATTCAAAAAATTTTGCTGTTTTGGTAGAAGTAAGCATATGTGAATGCATTAACAATTAGTACTGAAAAGTTGTTCGATAAGGAAGATTAAAATTGACGAAGGTAATCAAATAAATAATTAGCTGAGGTTGAAAGTTTAAGTTAAGCTTGCAAGTAGTAATGACTCCAAGCTTCGTTGTAATATGAGCTTTTAGTAGTGGTAGATTCCAGTAGGGTTGGGCTGGTATCAGTACTATCATCATCACTATTATTATTAGTGTTATTAAATTACTTTCGTTGTTAAGCAATGATTTGCTTCAACTTTAACTGTTTACTCTTTTCTTTCATTTCAGAAATTCTTGGAAGCACAGATGATCAAAAGTTATTAGTAGTAAGCCAAGTATTTGAGAAAGTAAGACAGAAAAATTAGTTCGTAACTGATGAAATCTAATTCTTAGCAAAGATGCAAAGATATAATTTCATTTACTTATCTTAAGTTTAAGCTCGAGCTCGAGCTCAAGCTCAAGTTTAAAATTCTTTGCCTTACATTTTAAATGAAAGCAGATAAAAAAAGTGAAGTGAACAATGATTTCTACAAGATAAAAAAGTAGCAAGAAAATTCTAAAGAATGATCACGTTTTCAAGATTATTATTATTACAATTTTTAAAATATTTCTAAGATTCAAAAACTTTCTCTTTTTATTTCTAAAATTTTTTATTTATTATTTATATATTATCTTTTAGTTTTTCTTTAACAAATTTGCACCAACTTTCTAACTTATCAGATCAAACATCTCTTTTCTTCCGCCAAAAGTTAGCAACTATTCGTTCAATTGCAAATATATCGAAACTATGGTATGATTCAGAAGCACATACTTTACTCGAGTACATTCATAAAATCGTCTTATTTTATTTGTGTTTATCACTTTAAACTTTCTAATCTAATGTGCAGCAAATACTGTTGCGCATTAAAAGTAAAAAATATATTTTATTACAAAATGAAAATTTACATTAAATTTATATTTTTAAGTTGAAAATTTGACTGTATTTGAAAATTAATTTTGCATAAAAATAAAATATATGCATTTATTTATTTTTTTTAAAATAATAGTAATTTAAATCAAAATATGCAAATATTTCCATTTTTTTTTCGAACATTTGAGCTAACGTGAATGAAAGTACTTTTGAACTATCAGACATTAAAATAATTCTAAATAGAAGTGTGAAATACGTAAATTACTTTATTTTAAATATTATTTTTTTAACGCAGTTTGGTATGTGAATAAAAATGTAGTTTTAAGCATAAGTTAATAAATGGAAATAAATAATTAATATGTTAAGACGGATAAATTGAATAGTGATTCAATGTTCTATTTTAAATGCAATTTATTATTAACTTATGATATTTATCTTGAACAAATGATCACAACATTGCATATTTTACTTTATTTTTAGCTGTTAAAATTTATCAGGGAATGAATAAACATTTGTTTGATAAGTTGGCAATTGAAATAAGCTAACATATTGTACATTAGATCAAAATTTGGTGTTAACATAAAATAAAACTTAAAAATACTCATTTGAATTAAAATTTAAGTGATCTGGGAAAGTAGTTGTGATAGAACAAACATATTGATTCATTGTACAGATAATTTGATCAAGCAGATCAGAGAAATCTTTGACTAATTTATTAAATGCTAAAAATTAATTAAAACTTCAAAAATCAATCCAACTTTTGAATCTTTTACAAACTTTATGTTTAAATTCAACATTCTAATTTATTCAAATGTCAACAATTCAGTTTTAACTTTAAAAAATAATTAATTGGACTTCAAATTATTTTTGTTATCAAAATTTTTTTCTGCAAAACTGTAGTAAGCTTTCAATTTTTATTTGCCTGTTAATTTTTTTAAGAAATAGTACTTAAAATAGATAATTAAATTTGAGATACCATATTTTCCACATTTTATTATTACTTTAAAAAAATTGTATAGCATTTTATGAATTAAAATATTTTGCAAAGATTGTGATATTTTTGATAACAAATCGCATCAGTGAATCAAAAGCAACTGCTATTTGCTGGCCTCGAATTATCAATTCTATTAAAACATTCACTTATTTACTGGATAGGAAAACTTCAGACTAATAATAAAATTCAAACATCTCAGCAGACTAGACAGAATTTTTCTCAAGTATAACAACCCTTGACCTCCTCATTGTTTTATGTCTAATTCAAAAATATTCTCTACATTATAAATTTAATCCCAAATTGATTAAACTAAAAATATTAATTATAATTTTTTTCACCCTTGTCTAGCTATCATCACAATCTGTGTACTATTTTGAAAATTAATTTTTAGCTTGCGAAAAATTTGAATCTAAATTTGACTCAGTCAATTTTATTCTCAAATTATAAAAAAATGAAAAGTGAGCAAAAAAAAATAAACTTTTAGAAAATTTAAAGTTTTTGTCAGAATTTTTGAAGACAAATTTGTGCAAAAAAAAACGAACAAGTGTTACTGTGAAGTTTCTTCGTATACTTTTCACTGCAATAAATTTTCTTTTAAAGAAAAAAGGTTAAATGGCAAGAAATTTCTAAAGTATACTTGCTAAAACGTCCACAAGCACAATTGTTCCATAAAAATTTGGTTAAAAAAAATATAAAAAATTACAAAATTATTTTTGAACCCTTTTATTTTGATAAGCAAAATAGCTCAAACTTGAAGTACTAATTTTGTTAGCATCCGAAAACGATCTATCATAAAGTGTAAAATTAATCTTTTAAAATTAGTCATTCAAACTTTGCTTTTTTAAAAAAAAATCAAGAAACATCTGATGTAAAAACTTTTTGAATTTAGTTCAATATGAAAAAAATTTTTGGTACATTCTATTTTCTATTTTATTTTTAGAAAAAGTCAACTAAGTTGCAAAAAAAACTAAATAATTGACAGTAAAAAAAAGATTTAATAACAAAAAAAACTGAAAAAACTACAAAAAACTAAATAAGTGACAGTAAAAAAAGATTTAAAAATGCAAAAAAATGATTAATTATTTTAATAAAATAATTTAAAGTTTGCTATTTTTGCAATTTCATTTCTTCAAATGCATTGCGTTTTTTGGGTGCATTTTGCATTTTAGTAACTTTCAGTTGTATTCAGCGTGTAATATTCTGTTTAAATGAATTTTGGATTAGTTAATTTTATTGAATTAAATGTATTTGGCAAAAACTTTAACGTAATAGACGTTTGCATTGTTTTTTAGTATGCAAAATAATTGCTATTTGATAATTTTTGTTCGATAAATTCTATTTAATCACAAAAGTAAAGGCTTTTTGCACTTCAAACAAATAATATTAATTTTGTCAGATATCGAAATCAGAAAAAATCAGCGCAAAACTTGTCATAAATAATGATTTTACTTGATTTAAAAACTTGATGTTTGATATTATATTGAACGCAGCAAGTGACGGTATCTAATAGTAGAAAATAATGAAAAAGCACAAAGTCAACAGCTTTACTTAACGTATAAGACGTCAAAAAGGATTAAGATAACCTTCATTTACGGTATTTGCTACTGTTACGTGAAAAAAAAACTTTTAATCTTGATAACGAATAATGAATGTAAAAAACTGTAAGAAAGACTTTAACTCTGTAAGAATTAATTAAAAAACTAGAGGCTTATAATTATTTGCCAAAATTAATGAATAATGAAGGAAATTGCTTGTAAATTATTTTGAATTTATTTGTAATTCATAAGGTGAAGTTTCCAATTCGAGTACTTTGAATCAGTTAATCCTTGAATTTACAACTCAAATATTCTTACAATACTTCATACCTCACACAATGCGAATTTTTAAATTTACAGTTAATCAATGTACTGATTCACTCATTTTCTATTCATATCTTGATAGGTATTTAAATTTTAGCATTTATTATTGTTGAATTAAGTGGAAAAATCAAATTGTTTTTGCTTTTATCTGTAAAGTAATTATTTTATAATTAATTATTCATTTGTACCAATTGTAATTTTTTGCCATTAATATGATTGCATATTTTATACTTTTAATATCAATATCAGTACTGATAAGTTTTGTTGTTTATGCAGATAAAATAACTGATACTATCATCAGTAATTATGCTGTAATCATCATTTTTATGATTACTATATTCTTTTATCGTTTTGTAATTTTTTGTAAGGAAGTTGGAATTTGATGGCATATTATATTCACAACTATTTTTTGCCTTTTTTTGACCACTGATTGTACTAATCTTTCTTTCTATTGTAAATAACAACAACAAAATAATAATTTTGTTTACGAAAATAATTTGCATAAAGTGGTTGATGAATAAAGATCAATGGCAAACATGTGTACATGTATTGCTGCAAAGCATACAGTTATTATTAGTGCAATGTTTACATATTTTATTTATTCACAAGTATTTATTTTCAAATTCTTTTATTCATTTTATTATGTGCAAAAGGGAATCAATAATAAAAATGCTTAAAATATGCTAAAATATTATCAAAATACTTTGTTTAAGCAGTCAAAGTTATGGCAAGAAAGAGTATTTTCCGATTTTCTATTTAATGTAATTTATTATTTAACAAATTTTGCTATTTAAGAGACGGATTTTTATTTGTCATTTTAATTTTAACTGTCTGCTATCAATTAAAATTATTTTTACAGCCAATAATACCATTTCTGTTTGAGTAATAAAATTATAATTGCTACTAAATTTAATAAAACTGAATGAATTTCTTTTTCTGATGCAAATAATGATGGTATTAACTGAATAAATTAGCAAGAAGATCGTTGACAAATATATGCATGCATAATTAGGAAAATTTGAATTAAATGATAGTATGATCAGATGATTGCTTGCCTCTTTGAATAATACTTTGAATTGCAAAAAATTTGTTAAAAATAACAAGTAATACTTATGTTGTTTGATGACTAAAGTTTCTTGTCAACATTTTTGCTGAAAAAAATTCTTCCCTCATAATCATTGATATCCCCTTTTATCATTTTTAAAGCTTTTTGAGATCATACTTAATTTTATTAAAAAGATTTCTTCTTAAGATTATTATTAATTCGTTAAATACAATCACAATTTCAAATTACAGATACTAAATACAAAATGATTCCACAAGAGATACTATTAATTTTCGTACTTGCTTGGAAAGTTAATAATCTAGCATGCAACGAAACTAATAATGAAGGTTGATGTCCAGATTATATTTTGAAAAAATTTGTGAGTTTAATAAAATATGCAAAACCTATATTGACTTATCAAAACTAATATAAACTTAACATATATAAACCTCCTTAGACTGAATTACTTTTTAAAACTCATTCTTTTTAAGTCAAATTTCATGTTACATTTTCAGAATCAATTACAGAAATACCTGAGAGAATGAGACAATACATTTCTTCTCCAGGAATTGCGGGACTTGGATCTTTGAATCTCTTAAATGCTGGAGCTTTTGGGTTTCCGGGAAATGCCGCTGGTATATCAACAGCATTTCCTGGCCAACTTATCAGAACTCCCGCAATGCCTAATCTATCTGGATTAGTTCCTGGGACGATTCCAGGTTTGGGGCAATTACCTGGCTCTATTCCTGGCCTAGGTCAAAGCAGTGCAATTTCTGGACTGGGAGGTTTACCAGGAGTATTTCCTGGTCTTGGAACCTTGCCCAATGCTATCCCTTCAAGTTTTCCTAAAACCATTCCTGAACTTGGTACTCTATCAGGTTACCCACTGGGGGGCTATGGTAGTTTACTGGGAACTATTCCAAGTACTAATAGCTTACAAATAGGCATTCCCGGATTGGGAGGTTTAACAAACATGGCTGCTGGACTGGGAACTATGCCAGGACTTACGAATTCGGCAGGACTACCAGCTGGAACTGGCATAGCCTTACCTGGAGGTATTTCTGGTCTTGGAAGCATACCAGGAACTGTCTCGGGATTCGGAACTTTTCCAGGAAGTGTTACTGCATTTGGAGGTAATAACTTCACAAGTTGTGGGATATTAAGGTGTGCAGGAAATCACCGGTGCTAGTACTATGCTACATGTTTCCATCTAGAAAATTTCATTTTAAACGGGTTTAAAAATAAATTTCAAAATTGGAATCCTCACTAAAGAGATTAAGAATTTCAGTAATACAAAATGCTTAAATTCTGAAATGGATGCATTTCAGAATTTAAACATTGTCAATTATTGAAATCTACAGGAAAACTTGACACATCTGCTAAATGCCTATCCCCATTTCCTAGTTTGTGAATCTCAACCTTAAATTTTTACTCCTTCAGGTTTGACTGGATGAACTGTTTCTGTAAATGGACATCGGAAATTGCTATTATATTAGTAATTATGATTGTAACCAAATGTCCAACGCTATAGAGCTGGATTTAATCTGGTTCTACCTGCTGTAATCAACTACTCAGTGAAAACAGTCTATAACTAAAATCACTATCGTAATGCCTCATTTGTATTATTCTTTTATGTGGTTTGTTAATGTATGGTTAAATCATTCGAAATCGACAATTCGTAAAAACTTGAAAAACCAACTACTGCCTCGAGGTTTGCAAATATTTGCATTTTCGCAACAAGCTTTCGTTGCATAAAAGTCTTGATGCAAATTCATCTGCTCATTTTCTAGACAAAAATGATCCACAGCAACCATAGTACATTACAGAAATTTACCTTTACTTGTTTGCCAATACTAAAAGAATAATTCACTTAAAAATACTACAAATATTTCATATCATAAAAATCTATCAATGAAAGATTTTTTCTTGTCAGTAAAATGCTATCTAAAATTTATAACTAGAACATAAGCTATCATCTCTACTGAGATAAACAAGTCAACATGTTAATTAAAACCAAGGGCGACAATCACCGCTTCAATACATCCGAGACAAAATTCCCCTAGTTCATTTTATTTTTGTTAAAAAGGGAAAAATAAAAATGTATTAAAGTACCAGGAAATCTATTTACTCCACAGTAATATTAACGACAGAAAAGAAAATGAATCATTATTAAATTACTTTATTATCATTAAATCATTAAATTTCATTCTAAAATCAACAAGTCAAACGTTCGCATCGAAGTTCTAAAAATGTTCAAAATCAGTAATACTTCAGGTTTCAAAAATATTTTAGATAAGGATTCACTGACTTCATTCGTTAGATTTCAATCATCATCTATCACAATCAGGTCCTGTGCAATCTTTTTCAGCATTTTCTTTTGCAGCCCAGTTTCTCTCTTGTTAGCGCTATAAAAATAATATTGTAACGGTTTCTGGTACTTGATGCCTAACAAAAGGCAGTATGAATATAGTCACTGCATATCTGATGTATACAATCGAAAATTAGCAGGACAAATGTTTATTGTAAAGTTTTAAAAATAAAGGCTAAAAGAAGCAACCTCAAATTTGCAATAGCTTTTTCTCGAAGTTCTTCAACATTGCTGTCAGGCTTGGCCCATTCCAGAACTAATCTACGACCATAAAAATGAGTTGAATGAACTAATGCGTTAAATGCTCGTCGAGCATCAGCACGAGTCAAAAAATCAACAAAACCAAAACCACGATGTCCTTCCGCTGATGCACCGACCTCAAATTTTACATAATAGAACAAGTGATTCAACAGATCTTCCTAAACATTGAAAGTAACTGCAGTCAATAAAAATAGATTTCTGGAAAAAGATAGTTACGAGACCTGCAATGAAAAACAGATAACTTTATCTTACTTACATTGCCGATCTTAAAAGCATAGAATGACGTACCTTCCTTGGCATCCTAAATGACCGAATTTCACCAAATGTACTAAAAAGTTGCTGCACTTCCTTCCGACTTGCTTGAAATGGTATATTTCGAATTAAAATCTGCAAAATGAAACAATTCACAATGACTGCATAATAAGTTGGTAAGGGACAAAATCTTTGAAAATTTTGCTTTTTATAACTTGATAAAAGGAAAGAAGATACTTTATCTTCTTGATAATCATCATGAATTGATTAACATTCCTAAAAACTACTGAATCGCATTACAGCTTTTTTATTAAACCAAGAAAGAAAATGTTTTTCATTTGTCTATTGCTCGATTGAACAAAACGCAACAGCATTTGAAAATACATTTGACACAAACGAAATATAACAAATAAAATGTAAGATGAAGATACTAACCTTTGTTGCCTCACCCTGCTCCAATTGATCAACTTCTTTTCTTGTTATAGTTTTGCCCGACAGAACTTCTCTGTGAGATAATTTTAATTCCAAGCAGTGACCATCCAGTAAAATACCCTAGATTGAGCAAAATGGAAACAAAAGTATTAGGGCTATATATTTCAAAACTATTTTTGCATCATGAATATTGAAGCGCACACAAAATCTAGATGTCTGCATAAACGAACTTGCATTTCCTTGAGTGCTTCTTCTGCATCTTCTGGGCGGTAAAAAGTAACAAAACCAAAGCCCATAGACAATGTTTTTGTAGGTTCCTCAACTTCTGGAAAAAAAGAGGTGAAAGAATTCATGCGTGTTACGAAATAATTAAATGTTATCATTCTAAAATTCAATTTAAGCAGCAAAAATTGAAAAATAAATCAAAAATGAAAAATGTTCAATTTTTTTATGATGCAAAAATAGTTTTTTTGTCAGTTAAAATCAAAAATGAAGTTGCAATTTCTATTCAAAAAGTGATTCTTCCTTTTTTCCGAATTCTATAATTTAGAAGCGATAGACAAAGAAGCAAATAAAAATTGCAACTTGCATTTAATTATATACTTTGTTGTCAGGATTATTTTAAAAAAGACGAAAACCTAGTTTTTTAGAAATTGTAGCAGATCGTATGGGAAATCTCGATTTAAATTTGTTTGCTAACTCTTCATCTGTAGTTTTGAAATTCAAGTTCTTAACAAACAAAGTTGTTCCTGGCAAAATTTCGTTTTCTTGTTCTATACAATGAACGTTTTTAACCTCGGTATCAATTTCAAAATTGTGTGTTTCTTCTACACCTTGTATTTCTTCCTTGGTACATTCTACTAAGTCAGCTTTATCAATTAAAGAAGTAGTTTCGTGATCCACAGCTGCAAATAGTAATCACTGATAATGATAAAGTATTTATAGTTATGTTCCAAATAAAAATTAACAAAGGACAAGTGCTAAATATGATATGAAAGTCATTTATAGTAGACTGATGTATCTTTTTTTGATTTACGCACAAATGAAAATTGCTATATGGCCAAAAATTTTGAGTATTGATTAATTGTAAGTTTTAATAATTTGTATTTACTAAGATATAATAGCAAAGAACTGTTAGCAAGGAACTCGATTTTCACAAAATAATCAAGTAACTGGTTTTCAAACCGATAGCAACTAGTCATCTTTATATGTTTTGTATGTTGTATGTTGGTACTACAAAAAATTGTATCAAATTGCTACCTTTCTCGGAGGTTGCAGTTTCCACAGCTTCTTTTCGATGTTTTTTACTTTTTCTCAATTTCTTCTTTTCATCAGCTGTCATCTCAGGAGTCCTTTTTTCAGCACTCTTAATTTCAGAACTATCTTGATTCTGGTTTTTATATTCTTGGTCTAATTCTTCTAAAAGCATGAAACAAGATAAGGAATGATTATTTTAACACTGACTGAAAAAAGATGACGAACACTTCATAATTTAAACGAACTTGATTTAAATATATCACAAGGTGCCCATTCCAAAAACAAAGGCTGAGAACGAAAACGAGCGTAAGCAAGCGCATTAAAAGCCTTCTGTGCATCAACTACATTTCCCATCTCTAAGACAGCGGTCACACAACCTAGAAATAATCATTTGTTGACAAGATTTGTCTTTAACGTTTAAAACAAAATGGAATGATCATAATTGAAAGCTAACTCATTATCACATTTCCCTAAGTGACAAAATTAAGAATGCATTAGTGACTGAAAAATGCAAAGACATGGAAAATGGCAACAATAAACGCAAAATGAAATTCATTACTTTTTCAGGCGGCAAAATATGATTACAAAGCAATGGAATTGCAGTTCAGCTTACCAGGAGGCAATAATATTTGTTTTACAGGACCATGTCTCTCAAACATTCGTCGCAATTCACTAGCCTCAACTTTTGCTGTTAAATTTTTTACAACGATCACAGTCTTACTTCGATTTGTAGCAGGTCGAGAGAAAACATCTAAACAAACTCCATGAGCTAATAGATATTCTCGAGTTTCCCGAACCAAGCGCGTTTCAGCTAAGGCCAAACGCACACCAGCACTATAATATTTTGTTAGTAAATTTGAATATCCTTTTTTCTAAAGCAAGTTTACATTTCTTTGAAGGGTAGAAAACAAACATCAGCATTTCACAGATCCATGCTATCATAAAAATATCTGAAGAACCTTTAAAAAAAGAAGCTTTAAAGGCTTATTCTCAGACTTACATAGGCATTTCAGAAAATTAATCATGCTGGTTCAGTAATTTAAAAATATGTTCGTGTTAAATAAAATATACACCTTGTTTCTCCTTCCCCAAGCAATAAATCCCTTTTTTCGACTTCTAATTTTTCGGCTAACGTCTCAGCAACTGCATTAGCTCCAAGAAACAGAGTATTCCAAGAATGAGCTTTACCAGCACTTTTCTAAAACAATACACATACATTTAAATAATATTGATGAAAAGCGATTCTGCATAAATTTTCATTAACATACTTTTAAATTTGAAAGTTTCGCTTTCTGGAATGCTGATTTTCCAGTGATTCCAACTTCTTCTGTCTCTCGCTTTTCCTCACCAGGTAAAATATGAAGCATTCTCCCCTAACGTGGAAAAGTACTCAATTATGATTAAATACAGATGTGCCAAAGTTAAGCAACGATATTTTTTAACAAATAAAATGATAATACTTGAAAAATACTGCGACCATTCAAAAACAGACTTTCAAAATGGATCCATCCAGTGCTGAATATGCTGCAACAGCCGATTCAGGAAAAACATAGGTGACTATAGCAAATCCTTTACACTGCCCAGTTTTTTTGTTGATAATTATTTGTAAGTCAGACACTTCACCATATTTCTTAAACAAATACTGGAGATCCTCCTCAGTGCAAATATAAGGAAGATTTCGGACGAAAAGTCTATAAATCACATACATTAAAAACAATGTAACATAAAATTGGAACATTTTAAAAACTAACAAGAAATGGACTCAAAGACAGAACAAAAGCTGAAAAAATTAACCTTCCACTATCAAGAATTTTTGCTACTACTGCTTCAATTTCGGCCTCTTTTGTTTCATGAATGTATTCCTCTATGTCTTTCACGACGGGATGTTCGTTGGGAACCTTTGTTATTTTCAACTGAAATTGCATATTCCTAACTTAGAAATGTTTATATTGATAAAAAGAGCATAATAAGGAAATATTATGAATTAATGAAGATTAAGGCTAAAGATTTATCAACATATAAGCTACCAAAATGATAGAAGCACTGAAAAAAAGAACAAAATCTAATGTCAGCTGATAAATTCCAAGAAATCTACACTCACTCTGGAACCACCAAAAAACTGTTCACTACGTTTTAATGCTTTTTTGGTGTCAGATTCTTGAAAGAATGTAACAAATGCAACAGCTTCGGTCGAACCGCGAACAAATTTCATTCCTTTCAATCTAATTGGACTGAACCAATCTTTAAGCCCCTTCGATTTTACAGTTTTAGGAAGACCGTATACAATGACTGATAACGAAGTATTACCTGTAAATGAAACTTAACTTCAAGAACAATACTGCATTATTTCCATAGAAATTTCAAACTTTTGCTTCAACAAAACTGATGACTTCTCAACAAACTGAGATATCCACACACTAATTTTTTTTTGTATTTTAAATCTTATTTTATTTAGCACTGTTGTTTGTTACATGAATTCGTCACAAAGTTTTCAGATTTCAGTAATCTTAAAATAATAACTATTATTTAGATGTGTATCTATGTAAAGAGCTTTATATTGCAAACTTATTTCTTAATTAAATCACCAAATATTCAATAATCATATGATATCACGCAATTTTATGAGAATTGTCGCATGACCAAGTAGAAAAAGTTACTAAATAGAATGAAATAGGTACAAAGCTTTAATAAACTCGCCTTTATTTAAAATATCACAGTCAATAAGAACGATTTTATCTGAATTTTTAATACAATTTTTGGAGAGTTAATGCTTCTAATATTAGTGAAAATATTTGAAAAAAATGAAATCCTAATTTTCCCGCCGCAAAAAAATCATGAAAAAGGAATAACTGAATGACAATATTATTAGAAATACAATTATGAGATCACGCATTTTATTAACTGTATCAATTATTGATATTTGAAAAGAAAAAGAGGTTTTATATCTACCTGGTCATTTCTAACAAAAAAAAACCCCTCAATTTTCTTTATTTACTTAAGCAACTTACCGCTAATTCCATTTAGCAACTCTTTGATCAAATCATTTTCATTGTTTTCGTCAGTAATGCAATTTGCAGATGGTATTAATTTCTTAAAAAAGTGGAAGCTACAACAAAGTATTCCTGGACTAAATGTCATTTAAGATAAGACAGAAGCACTTTGTTTAAGAACTTGAAAATTTGTTCTAAAATATTCTTGAAGAAAATTCAAGAATATGTATAGAAATTAAAATTTTTCTTGCTATATGTAATAATAATAGCAAAGATAACCGAATTCAGAAACTTCGAACTTCAATGCAAAAAAATATTGCAACCGAATCAATAACCTTATCTAATTCAAGAAAATCTGGAACTTCATCATAGCCGTCGATTCTCATTTTTTTGGTTGATAAGGTTGAATCATTCCCTCCAGAATTGATGTGTTTTACTATTTTCTCTGCCTCTTCAGGGTGCGAACGTTTGTAAGCGCTGCAAAATGTCCATATTTATATAGAAGAAGAGGAAAAAGTCAAAGGTATAACTGCTTTATGATTTGTTGATGTAAAGTTGTTATTTTACCTGCTTCCTTTTGCATACTTACTCCATGCTCTTGGCTTTGTTTCATCGCCGAACGGCTTACATTCTTCAATCTCAAAATGTTTTCATCAATAATTTATAGTTTAGCTTGTCAACTTATCAACGAAGTGCCAATAACTAATTCTTAATTCCAAGGAGCTTATTTTACACCTTTTACAATCAGTCTTGTGAAAATTAAGACAAATATTATTGTAAATAAAATTTTTACAACTTAATGCTTTACCATTAAGCGAGATGTGCCCATAAATGTACCATGAAGTTGGTCTTGAGCTTTTCGGGCATTCTCATCGCTTTCAAATCCAAGAAATGCAAATCGACGAAATTTTCCAGCTTTAGTGTACTTCAAAGTACAATCAGTAATTTGTCCATATTTTCCAAAATACTGCCGCAACTTTTCTTCAGTACACTTTGATGGTAATCCTTTCACAATCAATCGACTCATATCTTGAAACCCATTGAGGCGCACACTCAATTTTGTATACAATAGAAACGAAAATGGAGCGACTATTGCACTATGTCAACTTCTAACTTCTAGTATTCAAATAGCAATTCTAATTTTTTTGTAATTTGACACGAAAAAATATATATTAACAGATTAACGCTTGATCATCACATGGGTAGAAACAAAAAATGGTACCCGCAAACAAGTAAAAACAAAGATCAAGAGCAAAACTTTATTACCACCTAATAGTGGAACAGGTGTTGTATTTTCTAAATTTGTGTCATGTGACTGCAGTTGAATATGATTTTCCCAGAACCAAGTGAATGGAATGAGGATCTCGTGATATAACTGCAAAGATCAAAGAAACTATCTAACCTCACATAACCGCTGTGACACCTGAAGGCACTGTATAAGCACCAATTAGCTTGACACTGATCCGTTTCATGCACTGTAATAAAATATCCTGAAGACATCTAAAGTACATTTTATTCCAGGAAAAAAAATGCACAAGTGCGACACCAGTATGCGCGGTAAAAATTGACAATAACACATTATTAAGGGGAATGTCTCTGCTGTCAGTACAATTGCAAAAAAACTATTATTAAATTAATGCGCTGACCGAGTACTAGTCACAGCGTGCAAAGCAAGCAGTAATTAGTAGTGGGCTTAGTCGAACTGCCTTCGAAGAAGTGCTAGTTTAGAAACAAGACTGGAAAATCCGTGTGTATGCTTATACATATTTGACTTGCATGTGTTTTAAGAGAATTTAGAAATGATGAAGTTAGCTGTGAAGCAATATCACAAGAAACACGTTAGAAGACTAGTAAGGCTGAGTACGAACTATATAAAAACTGCGGTCCGTAACAACATATAGGTTTTGGACAAAAAAGAACAATTCTATAAATCACATTATATGACTCGCAGTAAAAATGGTTGAGATATCTTCAACAACACTTCTGTTATGATAAGCCACTGACATGGTAGCATTTGGTTCAAGTACGATACTTTCGACAGGTGTTCGACTTTGAAGAAGTTGAGTGTTACGGGACATTAGTGAAAGTCTATTATCTACAACCTGTAATTGTCTCAATAAGACCAGAAATTAAAAAAACTAGTTTAAATTTGCCCTTGATTTTGCCAATTTCTGTGTATTTAAAAGCAATAAATCATTACTGCTATACAAAGGAGCAAAAACAGTACCGATATAAGAGTGATTCTTAGGCCCAATTCAAATGCATCACGATCGTAAAAACCACATGATGTGTTCTCTGACGCAGTGTACTTGCATTTTTGTTCATTCATAAATTTACATTTTGTGAAAGTTAAACCGTTGAATGTGAAATTCGCACATATCTCGTTTTCAAATCTGAAATTCAAATATTTCTATATTAGTGTCGGAATCAGCCAAAATAATACTTCTGCAATTAGTATAATTAAAGAGCTTTTCCGATTTCGTCTTTACTACTTTTTAAGTCGGCGTCTTTGTGCTTCTTCACCCCATAACACCTGTACATAATATTGCTGAGCAACTGCCGAGGATGGCAATAACAACGATGTGGTAGGAGATGACTGATTAGGTTTGCCATTAGCTTCACTATTCACGAAACATGGAACTTCCACTGTAAATTTCTGAAACATGCAAAGGTGATATGCAGAATAGTTTGAATAATAATGTTTAGTTTTACATAGTTCTGATGCTTAGGAAGAAAATTATAAAAAAATCAAACGAATCAATATTCAAAAACTTTGCCTCAAATGTACTTGTTTCAAAAAACTGCAAAAAATAACCTGTTTCGTACGATGCAAGATAGAAACGCAGTCAGAAGGAATAACACTGTGTCCATCGACTGGTGTTTTTGTCTGTTTATCCATTACAACGATACGAGCAAATGAATCTCTGAAAGTCAAAAAAATTGCTGCGAACAGTAACTACAAATTTTTAATGTTATTACGAAGTCTTGCATTTTATAACAGAGGAAATAATGAAGCTACAGAGTGATTAACATCTAAGAAAAGTTTTAGCTTCATTTCACAGTTTGAAAATTATTAGTGAGAGAATGAGTTAAATTACATACATTCCATATCATGTGTTTTCAACAAAACTCTTATTATGAATTAGTATCAAAGATAATAGGAATAGATTCCAATATTGAGGTAAGATTAACTGAAAGGAAAACTCCAAAACTCTCCCATACTTAAAGCAAAATTATTCATAATAATGGCTGCAAACGTGAATTACAAGTGAACAATCATGCATAGTATAGAAAAGCATTGATTTCAAATTAAAATAAAAACCTCAATCCTTTATTTTCGATACAGAAACTAATGTTTGTAACGCCTTGTGCAGTCAAAACAAATGAACCATCTCGCAACATAGTCAGTCCAGACTGTGCCATAACTCTCAATGAAGCAATACCACCACTGCCCACCAGTGGAATCTAAATGTTCAAGAATAAATTCTAGTAATAATCTCATTCATGGTAATTCTAAATATACAGAAATCTTATCTGATTCAACAAAAACACGCACGCACCGAATAATTTATATGTTCAGCATTGAGAACTTTGATACGAAGAACATTTTGAAAGCAAGCACCAAATGGAGGTTGGAATACTATATGCACCACATGAGCTTCTTCCGGCTTTAATATTATTATACCCTTCTCCAGAAGCTATAACAGTTATAAAAGAATTCTGTGTTATCAGCAAAAGTCAAACACTAATTGTAGGATACAATGAATACCTCATAACCTTTACTCGTACTATGCAATTGCAACTTGAGATTTAGTGATTTTGAACTAATGTTGCGCAATTTAACTGAGCGATTAACACGACAATTGACATCAACAAACCCAAAGTAAACGAAAGAATGATCACATGACAAAAATTTGCCTTGGTTTTCTATACTGCTGTACTTTAATGAGCTGAAATGAGTTCACTATAAGCGAAGTAGCTTGACTAATAGAGTGCCAATTTTTACTTAACAAATCTGAACAAAGATCAGTGATGAACTTGTTTATAAATACTTCCACTTCATCTCACGATCACACTAAACCTAGAATTTTCGATGGTTTTCATTAAATTGTTACTACTCCACATTTTTATAACCATTGTTCTTTGAATCCAGTAAAACATATAAAACTACTTAGATGGGCAGCGCGATATGGTGTTAGTACTGCAGTGATGTAATGTTTTCCATTCCAGGCCTGAACATCTCTGCTTCGATTTTGAAAAAAGCATTGTATTTTGAGAGCCATTTCTATCCTGATGAGAATTCAGTAGTTCCATACTTTTATTTTTCTTGTTAGATATACCTGAACGATCGTAACTTGTAGTAGCTGAAAACATTTATTATGTTTTTGAATAGATCATAAACTTCCCTCCTTCGTAGTGCATACAAAATGTACAGCATGGTAGATTCCAAATAGTGTATTTTATCAACAACGGTTACACATCTTCACTTGATAAATTTGAACAGATATAAACTCCAACCTTTTTGAGTCGAA